GACATGGACCTAGGAATGCGCCGCGAGCTGTGGATGCAACGCCTTCCTGGAAGCACTCAGGCTATCCTTGCAGTAGCAAGTGACTTGCCAACCATAGCAGTTGCAGATCTGGCAGACCGCATCATCGAACGGCATCACCCAGGAACAGAAACCAAAGCACATAAGCAGATTCGTGTTAGCGCAACCACACCGACACCCGCGACTAGCCAGACATCAGCAATAGACGCATTTTGGTCGCAGATAGCGTCGCTTCAGCGCCAGATCGAGCAGCTCATGTTAAAGCGTAAGCACCGCATCCGCGCTGGATTATTGCTCCGTCGCACGAAACCTGATGCCCCAGTCACGTTTCCTGATAAAGCCGTAAGTGCATACAGCGGTGTAGCTACTCCGCTATATATGATCCACCACGCTGGGTGTAATGGCCACGAACGTCTATAAAGCCCAAAGTCGTCTCATCTAGGGATTATGACTCCTAGACCCATTGGTAGTCGATATCGTGGCGGAGCTCATCGTCCTTCCCATATTCCAGGTGAACCAGCCGCTTCTTTATCGACAAGTCTAAGTGCTGCCAATAGCATGCCAATAGCCGCCTATAGTCATCGGTCGCCTACCCTGGACCTAGGTCTTTGGTGCACATTCCTCTGGGTCTTCACCGTCACTGCAGTCCCCATTGCCATCATCGGCATAGACTTTCTCAGACATTTCGACCACTTGGTCTTTGCAGTGCGCCAGATGATTGTCGACACTTCAGCGAACTCACTGTACTTGGCAGCACCGCCGATATCGCATTTATAACACCGGCCTACGCCTTTCCCCATACCCGGCCAGAATACGCCAACCACTTTTCTCAGTATTACAAGCTTGTTCAGCCAATGAAGGCAGATTTGCCCGTGGCATTTCAAGTCCCGCACTACATACGAACGAATGATCCCCCGTCTCAAGGCACCAAAGCCGACTGTCGTCCGAGAAAATAAATGTAGCTAGTGCGCAGTTCTAGCTTTTGCTTTAACTTGTATAATCCACCACCCCGAAAGCGCTAAGTCACGGCCGCTGCAACAAGCAATATGGTGACTATCGCATTTGCGGTGCTTACCGCGCACTTAATCGGCTACCCATCCCACATATGTCCCCCATCTCATACATGCAAGACCTTACCGCATGGCTCACAGGTAAGGCTATCTTCAGGAAGATCAATCTGTTACGCGTCTTCCACCAGATGCTTGTAGAAGAAAATGACATTCCTTAAACAACCGTTATCCCTGCTTTCTGTCATTTTGAGACTTTAAGAATGCCATTTGGATTGCGCAACGCCGCACAAACCTTACAACGCTTCATTCACGATGTCACTAGTGGCCTGGACTACGCTTGTTCCTACATCGATGATATTTTAGTAGCCAGTTCATCGGAACAAAAGCACCTCGACCACCGCCTAACTCTCATTCAGCGCTTGACCCAACGCGGTGTCACAGTCAACTTGACTAAGTGCGAACTCGGCTAACCAACGGTAGCACTCCTAGGCTACCTCGTTTCATCGTCTAGTATTAAACTCCTTCCTGATAAGTGTATGGCAACCAAGGAATTTCCAGCTCCAACTTCCTTCAAGCGCCTCCAAGGGATTTGTGGTTTGGTCAAATAATATCGACGATTCATACCGCGCTGAGCTCAGCCCATGTAATCTCTGACTGACCTATACAGAAGGAATGAATATAAGTTTGCTTGCCCTGACACTTTGCATACCCCCTACGCAGAGCTCAAAATGCCATCTCCAACATAGCCCTCCTCGCTGTTTCCGAATCTACTGCACGCTGTCTATTACGACTGCTGCTTCAGACGATGCGGTAGAAGACATTTTCAACGACGCGTTGGTTGGCAACGGCGACTCCTTGGGTTTTTCTAAAAGCGCCAGCAGATAGCGGAACCCTTTTACATCAAGTTTGGCAGCGAATTGCTCGCCATTTACCTAGCCATTCGACTATTACGGGCACCCACTCGAAGGCCGCAATTTCACAGTCTACACTGAACACAAGCCTCTCGTCTTTACCGTTAACACTGCTTGCGATAAGTATTCACCACGGGAAACAAGACACCTAAATTTGTCTGGCGGTTCACTGCTGACAAAAGTCAAGTCTCATTTGTTAAAATATCTCGTTGCCGACGCTCTCTCAGGCGTCAACCTCACTCTCCAGTCGTAGCCCGCCGTTGCGTTTGTCGCCATGGCATCGACTGAGGCTTAAATGAAGACATACAACGCACGCTGCAATCCATTTGCTTTATGTACAACCAGTTCTTCTCCAAATCTTAGAAGAAAGCATTCTCTATGCCACTTCCACAGGTTGTCCTGGAACTTTCGTGCCGTCACCGTCAGACGCACAGTATATGACGCGCAGCACTCCCTAACTCAGCTCGTTATCCGTGCCTCTTTGAAGCTGGTCACTGAAGGTTTCGTTTGGCCACGGCTAAACAAACATTTTCGTACCTGGGTTCGCGCCCGCATTCAATGCCAGCGCCATAAAATGCATCATAACACCCGTCATCTTATTGTTCAATTCCTACCCCAGAATCTCGATTCTTGCCTATACACTTAGACCTGTTATTACCTATGCATACTCTACGCGAATTCGCCTACATTCTTACACTTGTCGACCGCTTCATCAGACGGCCAGGTGCCAATTCCGTAGCAGACTGCACAGCCGAGACTGTTATCTGGGCCTTCTTAGTGTTTCTTGCACTACGGATGCTCATTCACTATTACGACTGATCCAGGAACGCCCTACGCATTTGTACAATTCGATACGTTCTGCGACTTTTAAGGATACCGTCGCATTCATATAACCGCGTAGCACCTATCAGCCAACGGATTAGTTGAACTTTTCCAAATACAACTAAATGCCTGCCACTGCATCTTTTTCGAACATAGCTGGAACAAAAGCTATTCGCTCGTACTCTTAGACTTAGTAGCAGCATCAAAGCTGACTTGCAATGTGCACAAGCAGAGCTGGTTTACGGCACAACGCTAAAGTTGACAAGAGAAATCTTTACGAACCCTACATCGTCAGGTAGACCTCCGCCTAACTATGCGTCCCCCTAGCTCAAAGCATGCATTCCTTACGTCCGACTCGGTCCCTTGAGCAGACTAGAGTTGCGCAAATGCACAGGGGCCGCTCAACCTGCACCTACGTCTTCCTCTGTACCGGTGCAGTGCGGTGCTCTTTCCAGCCTTCTACACTGGCGCCTACAGAGTCCCGCAACGGAATCCGAACATTTCACTTTAGACCAGAATGGTTACCGAACAACGGTGTCCATCGACCGCCTTAAAGTAGCTTTCTGTGACAAACCACTAACAACCTAACCTGATGTTCGATACATGCACCCGCAACCGCGATGACTTTTCCAGCAATTGATATCCCGAGACCCTACGTTCCCCTTGAACCTCATCCTACACCGCCCCAAAGCCACACAATGGACCGACTCGGTAAACAGTTCCAACGGCTCTAATATTTTACAGATTTTGTACACTTTTGCTACTTTCATAAAACGCCTTTTTAGTCTATAGTGGTAGTCGTGCATCCCATACGCAAAAGTTTTGCAAACTCGACTAAAATAATAGAACCATTTGAATACTTAAAACGTATTCGCATTTCTCTTGCATACCATACAAGCACTCTGATGTCAAGTCACTTCCCCTGACCCATTGAGTTTTACCTCTCAGAAACTCAACCGCCAGAACTGCCAAGGCAACCCTCAAGTGACGCGCCAACCTGCACAAGGCTACCACGGAGTGCGGCGTCAACGGAACCGAAGTCCCCTTCCTGACCCAAGGAACAGTTAGTCACCCTTGGCAGCAGAGGGCCTGGCTAGGCTCTGCCGACGAGGACGCCGGATTTCTAGGTATGACGAGGACGACTGGATTTACTCGTGAAACGAGGACCGTAGACTGGAGTGCGTTGAAGAAGTGCCACCTGCCAAGCGCATCGTCGGGTCTGCAAGGGACGGAATGTACTGTCGGCCTTTAAGTTGGATTAGCAAGTCCGTTTTGCGCTCTGACGTGCCCAACCCGAAGGCCCACCGATGATGCACTCGGGTCCACAAATCAGCATAAATAATAACTAACAAAAGCCTAGACAAACCGAATTCTGCTACACACCTCATCTGCAGCTCTTGTTCAAGCCCGTGCAATTATTCGAACCTATCCTCATTATCCATTTCCCGTACTAACAGCCGCTTCGAAGGCTTCAATCCTTCTGCCTTCTACGGGGTGGTCCGTTTAGTACACCAGAATACACGCTCTTTCACTATTTTGCAACATTGGATTTTACGGATGTAGTAACCTTTCAATCGTCCACTTGATTTTACTGACGGCACTGCCGTGGACACAAATCATTTTGGTGATTACCTTGCTGTACCGTCTTTCGCTCTATTTCATTCGCTTCCTATTATTGTAACCTGCACAATATACGCTGGTTTCTGTCACCACCAACTTCTACAGCGTTCTGCATTTGACACGGCTCTTTCCTGTCACTAATTACCTACTATTATCCCAGGCGCCACTCAACAATCAGCAAGCAGCATTCATGAAACTTTAGCTATCTGAGTGGTTTGTTTTTCACATTCAACCCTCCTAAACAGTACTATACCATAGCGTTTTGACGGATTTCTCAAAACAATTCAACTAACAGTTCGATAAATTTTGTTATTACTGAATTCACCACACTGACCCAGGTTCTGGTCGAATGCAAAGAAGAAACACACATTTTACGTGCGTTATACTAAGGCCACTGAGATTTTAATTCATTTGTCCAATAACTATTGAAATATGTTGGTTGAACACCAATTGTTTTCGCAAAACGGCATGCAATGTAGCCAATCATACCAGCAGCCTAGAAATAGATATTTCGGCTTATGGATCTATCGGTTTTCAGTTTGTTTTGACGTTAATAAAAACTATATAAACACACATCTGTTTGGTGCCCTGTTAAGAATTAATAATCCAGGAGACTGATTGCGTTTCCAATGGCCATGCATGCCATCTTACTGGTTCGTTGATATACTGCTGTATAATTTGCACAATTCATTATGGACGTTTGGTCTCAAAAATTCACAAGTTATGCACATAGACCAGACGAATGTCTGTCATAGAAATAAGTAGATAACATTCAGAGTGTGTCTTGAATGCTTAGAATTTCAATACGTGCTTTCTTTACTGGTTCAGCACTTTCGGAAATACATGAGTTATTCTGTGCCAAATTGATGCTTTGCAGCAAAACATATGTAGATGTATATCGCATGAGTTCATGTGTCAACTATAAAGCCTATGCAACTGCCAGGATCACAAGAGGAAAATGCCTAAATTAAGCACCTAATGGTTTTGTAAATATATAGCCTTCCAAGGTCTTGTTACTCAAGCTCCTTAGTTATATGGCTAATAACATTTGTTTGAAGCTACGCTTCGCACGTGTTTACTGCACATACTCGTGTTTCATTAATAGTATGGTGCTAGCTTGCAAGTGGCACTAGAGTTTATCTTAGTCTTCTGCTGACCAACGTCATGTGATATATTCTATGGCTTGCAACGTGTGTGTTGCACGATTAACCATAGTGTTATGTACAGCATTCTAGCTAGTTGGACCAGTGTATGCGAGTCAAGTTGGAAGTTGTAATATGCGTGCTGGATCTGATGCGCACGCGCAAATACAACGGTGATACTTAGGTGGGCAATGAAGCGTACCAGTTCGCAATTTAGCAGATAAAGCGCTACTGTTCACCCGGACAGATAGCTAAATGACTGTCAATAAGTGATAGTACAATCCGTCGAATTCAGGTAAAGCACCTTATTCAAAGTGCTGCATTGGCCACGCAATTATATGGAATAGAACAACGGACGTATGTTCTGTCATCAAATGTTTCGTGCATGTAGGCAAACTGCACATGTTGCCAACTGCAACACCGATGTTTCAATATGCGACTCGGAAGCACTTGGTATTAGCTGTATGTACATCACGACAACCTGCGTGCTTATATAACTTTCAAATTCACTCACGGAATAAATAGAAGAGTAAACCGTTATTTTCCTCATCGTCATATTACAGCTGTCTTTTTCGACCTTCTTTTTAACAGGCTGTGCTCGTTTTGTTGTTGCAAGCGGACATCGACGCTCAGCATCTAGGACATTATTGCTCAAATATTGCGGCATCTTACGAAACTGGTTACGGAAAACATTGCGCACAATCGCCCAAATCGAGCCCTTGCGTTGCATTTCTGCAAGACATTATACCTAAGTTGGAAGGCTGCAAGAATTTGACAGGATAACTGAAACACTGTGCATAGTCCTGGACCGGTTGCGTCAATGTATTAACAGACATGGCACAATAAATTGGTTCTGACAATATTCGTCTGTTTAAACTTTATGTTTACTGACTGGCTTCCTGTTTGCATTCACCCAAATCCAAAACCTTGCCAAAATTTAATGCTTGTCGAAACGCGCAAAATATGCGCGGAATGCACTGAAACCAACTGGTTCAAAAATGATGTGCAATACGTAGTGCCTCGAAGTTCCTGTTAGCGCGAATCTACTGGTTTGCAACCTAGCTAACAGCATGCGTGCATACACACACCTGACACTTGTTAAAATATTATTCCACTTTATTTGTTATGTCGCCTACTCAAATAATGCATATAATTGCTAATATCCACTTTTTACAAACTACACCCATGCAGTACAGAGATAACTAAACGGATTCATTTGGATTGTGCGCACGTTGCTATATCCGACAGTGTGGCTTCCGCTGTGCGAACTATGACAAAAGTGAAACGATTTATATTTTAATACCACATAAGGAGATGTGGGTTAACTTCCAGTGCATAATGGATAGCTATACGTCGCGTTACCCACAGCGAGCCATTGCCTCGTTTTGTTAGAAGCACGCGCTGCGAACACCACACTAGACCGGCAGTCGCATGTTAAATGTCAGTGAACAAACAAACGTATCACCACTGTACAGCCGACTTGAAAAGCTAATTTAACCTACCAAGTTACGGTCATTTACGTCGCGCTTTGTCCGCAGTATTTGTTTAACGCCACATCGCCAACGCGTAGTGTTTACTACTTCTGAGACGTACGTATAGTGCGCGCGACATGAGGTTCAAGCTCAAATTGAAAAGCTTGCTGTTAAATAGCTCACAGATCATAAGATTAAGTAGGGCGAAATATATATGTAGTGCAGCCGAGCGGAACTCAAAGTGTGAGTATAGCGCTGACAGAATCGTGAAGGGTTTCAAAGTGCCATTCTCAGGATAAGGATATGGATGTCATATAATTAAGCAAACAGTGTAGTTGTGGGGAGCTGCCAAAGTGCTTTTGAACCTAAAAACCAGATGAAACGAACAATACGATCCTTAGATCGACTATAGGCATCACGTTTATTGCAAACCCAAAACCAATCGTCTAATAAGCTTTTGCAGTTTATAACATACATTGAGGTGGGAGTTATCTATAATACGCAATGGAATGCTTATCATTCCCACCTCTACTTATATGTATATTACCGAGGAGTTGATGTACTTTTGAACAATAGGACGGTACCTTTATGAGTCGAAACCTCTATGTCGCGCACTGTCAAGCAGCAGGAATACTATTATATATTTTGCATGTAAAACTCGCGAAGCTGACTGGTTTATACAGGCTAACGTAAATATGCGCGTATAAAATGCACCATATACTCTAGGCTAGTCAGGCATTCTTGAAACGTTGGAAGCATGAGACATTCCCGATAGACTGGAGCCGTTCCGTCATTATCTCAACGTTCAAGTGGGCTCCCGTTCGGAATGCAGCAAGCACAGAGGGATCAGGCTGAGCTTAATTGCCTCTAAATTGCTCGCGTCTGCCTTTTTCCACAGACTGCCTGGCACTCGTGAATGCCAGATTCGTGGTGAGCAAGCCGGGTTTCATCGAGGTCCGGGCTGCATCGACCACATCTTCACTTGGCGTCCAGTTTTGAAGCACCAACATGTTTAGCAGCAACCCACCATTGTCGTGTCTCTTGACATCATAGATGCCTTAGACTCAGTCGATCGATGTAAGCTTTGCCAAGAAAAGGAGTGCTTGATGAATACGTACGCATTAGCCAAGCGTATTACGCGCAGAGTTCGGGCAGATTGAGGGTTAATGGCAAACTGCCGCCACTCTTCATTATAACCAGCCGGTGTGAGACAAGGCTGCCCGCTGTTACCTTTCCTATTTAAATTTACAGTTGACGAGGTAATGTGAACAGCATTCGCTAGATGCGGTCTAATATTGATGGAGCTAATTCCTGCTGAGCGAATTCTTGACGTAATTATGCGGACGATGTTTCCCTGATCTGTGACAGCTCCCAAATATGCCAAACAACACGGGACCGATTAGCAATGGCTGTCTGTCGTATTGGAATATGGTTTGCTCGAAATGTAAACTCTTTCTCCCAAATTAGCGGGGATTCAACCCCGAGCTAAAGCCTTGTGCTGTTAAGCTAAATGTCGTTCAAAGGTGCAAATACCTGGGCGGCTATATTAACGCCCGTGGGATCGAAGATGTGGTTACAATCCTACAACAAAATTTTAAGGTGCATTTGCTACTCTGTGCCGCCTGTACTGCAGAGGCGCCATTTATCTTACCTTGTATGGCAGAGTTTATGACGCAGCCGTCCGTTCAACGCTCCTATTTGTTTGTGAAACCTGGCCATCACGTCGACAGACATAAAAAGGCTCGTCATATTCGATCATCGCTGCCTTCGCAGGTTAGCTCACGCGTCCAGGATCACCGCGTGAGCAGTGAGCAAGTTCGGCGTCTCGTATTTGGTGCAGGAAGAGCTTGTGATCTGTGCAGCACCATTATATTAAGCACCAGGCTCTAATGGCTGGACCACGTTTGTGCCTGCCAACACACGGACTCTTGCAAGGTGAATTATTTTCGCGCCGCGAGTGCGGATAGAAGATAGAGAAGAGTAGGCTAAGCGATAACTTCGAAATGTGAGTCGGTTTGTGTATCCCGACTGCCTAGCTTGGTGCCTAAGTACGATGAACACATTTGATGGTACACATAATCTGATGAGGCGAAGAGCCGGCTCGAATGGCATTTGGGTTGAGGATCTTGGTCCATCTCCAACATTTAGGTTCCCCTCCTATCCCGATCTCATGCAAAACACCTATCATAATATGTAACATCATATTTTTGTAGTGTAATTTATTAGTCTCTTATATTTTTGTATTGCGGCACTTTATCTGATTTGTGTTTCTCACCACTAGCTCACGTGAACTAACGATGATGAGTCAGGCATTCTGTGGGTGCTTACTGCACGAGTGCTGGTTCGATGGCTAAATTCACTGGAATGTAGCTCATTTTTCCTCCGATGTACAGCTATTGCAAGGCTGGCAAACAGCGCTGTCAAACACAACTGGTAGGCTAACTAACCGGTATAAGTTCCTTATGGAAGGACGAAGTGGCAAACCCGGTGCTAACTTTCGTCCGCGCAAAGGCCTCATGCGGTCACAGATTAGGGGTGCTCTTATCCAATTAGGTGATTACGATGTTTCCTAATACAAATAGAACGAACAAAATGGTTTGCTACCAATATGGCTCTCCATGTGTTCTTGAAGATTCCTTCAGCTGGTTGTACATTCGCTAAACAATCCCGTTGGCGACCGTATGATTCTTCGTCGTCTGGACAAGGCGGCAATTTAACTGCTGAATTAAAGTAGCAAAAGTGAATCAGAAACGTAAATCTTGGTAGGTCCTCACAACTGTGGAACAGTCATACTGTGCTACATGTCATTCTAAAACGGTCTTTGCTATCATGCCTGAAAAGCCGTTTGGAATGTAAAAGTTCCCCTCTACCTATTGAATCCTACGTTTCAAACCAGTTATACTACGCATCTATTCAAAGGTTGCTGAGAACGTACACGTTTGACATGCACGCAGTGTAAATTTGCATCCGGCGTTGAAAACATGCGCAATGTGCACCGCATGAGCTGATGACATTGAACACGTTGATATGGAAGCCCTTCAGTGGCGCAAGTATGGACATCACCATTAACATTAAAACAAATCGTCAACAACGGTACATCAGCCAGTTGAACTGATGCTTCGCTGTCATACGACCATAACCATCTATGAGGCGAGGGAAAATAAATGGGTGAATAGGGGAAGTTAACAGAAAAGCTTTAGACCCTAAGCAGGCCTTCACTTTCAATGAGCCCACACCTGGTTAACAAAATACCACCAACTACAGCTAGCATTGTGCAATGTTAATGCGGCAATGGCGAGAGTGCTTTCTTGCGGCTTTCAAGACCGCACGGCATAATCAACCAGTACCCCGCAGATAACCCAGCACCAGGCTCACGTTTAACATACAGACAAAGAGACGGGAGCAGGCGCGCAACTGATGCGGAGTGCACACCAAGTCCGGTAATCTCTCGAGCCAAGCACAGAGTGTGTCAAGTGGACTCGAGTCTGGAGAGACGGAACCAAGTTTGCTCGGCAGTGACTTCACTTCTTGCTGCCAAGTCAAACTTTCCACCTGGAGACTCGCGCCAGCCTACGTCTATTAGAATAAACAATGACGCTTTTTGTAAACATTGACCGGGAGTAGATAGTACGTGGCCAAGCCAAAGCAACTCATGCAGGAATATCGGTTATGTAAGGAACTAGCTTGGTTAACACTGCCTAGTACTCACCTGTGCACTTCATCATTGCGGACACCTTGGGCCCCGAACACCAGCACTGTTTCACAAACAGTGATGATCAAAGTCTTGAAGTCACCTCGAATCTTCAGATCGAAGGGGTCAAGTCGCACTAGTATAGGCCTGGACAACACTTAGTGTGGCCTTGTAAGCAGGGTCTTGTAGAAATAGGGGATTACCTTCCTTTCGCCGGAAATCTCCAGATGCTAAAATGCAACTCTGGCTATTGCGGTGCGTGAACTGACCTCAGTAGCTATGCACCTATCTAGTTTATGCGGCTGCCAAGTAAAGTGATTGATCACTTGCCTCCAGTTCCTCGCCATCTTGGATCCAGTGACCAACAACATGTGGCCTAATGGACCGGCAGCAACACTTTGCACGTTGAAGATGCGAAGCGCAAACCAAATACTTGAATCACCCTACGCAAGTAATTCAGGGATTATTACTCCGAATGAAAATCGTTACACAGCAAACCGATATCGCCCGTATAATCAAGGCAACTAGCATGTCACAGTGCATCACATTAATGCACGCGTCTTGAGAATCCTCGATGGAAAACTCTGTGACACCGTCCATGACGAAATGTAACAAAATTGGGGCAACTGAACAGCCCTGATGCAGGCCACTTGTTGTCG